AAAGCAAAAGTAAGATCATGTAATTTCAAAGAAATCATGGGAAGTGCCGGTGTAATTTGTTCTTCTTATTATCATCATCATTCATAAGCTCTTTTCAGCAACCAACAATGTCTGGTTTCTGTCCCCTGTTGTTACTTTTGGAGATCTCGTGCAATTCAATTGATGTTTTCTAATTTCTTGAAATCATACCATATTTTTCATGTATTTTGGATTTCTTTTTATGTTTTCTTTTTACATTTTAGAGTTTGATACTTAAAAATATTTGTGCATACCTTTGATTTTGATTGCTGAGAAACAAAAACAATGTTTCCCCACCCCGTTTAAATCCAAGTTCAACCTGTAAAGACTATTCCTTTGATTACATTTACAATTGTAATGGAATTTTCTGTAATATGTTGAAACTTGAAATTGTGGCATATTTTAATTTACCTTTTGTCTTTTGTTTTTGCCAGTCAGCACACTGGCTTGTGGTGCACAGAGCTATCATGGCTATAAAAGATGTGGATGGGATGCTTTCTTCATTGGATCCTGAGTACTATGATATCCTAATGAAGTGAGTGGTGAAGTATATCTTGCTTGAATTCTTTTTTCTTTTCAGTTCTAATTTGGCTAGCTTGTCATTTGTTTAGTACAGCATTGCTTGCATGATGTTAAAATTATGAGGTTTATAGTTAATGATCTTTGTAGTTTGGCTTGTGTTCCATCTTGCATGATATGTGCTGCACTAGAACAGTTACAACTTGTTGAGAATCTAAGTGTGAATCTAAGTTCCACATTAGATAAAATTAGGAAAGGTAAGCACTATATAAGAATAAAAACTCATAAACACATTACTTTAAGGTTTTAAGTTGAGAGTAATATCAATATCTTATGTAGTTGGACTCAAGTCTCATTAGTATCTGTCTTCCCGATGAAAACCTCCTCTTTAAAGATCTATCACAGCTAGATATAGGAATATGGACTGTAATTAACATAGTGCATATATTTTTTATTTTCAGAAATGGAATGATAATCTTTTGGTAAAGTAAACCTGTGATGTAGATGGTGGGAATAACATTCTAAAGGGATGTTTTATAGTGTGGGGAAATTAACGGTTATTAATTAGGAACGAAATGGCATAATCTCTTGATCTTCTCTGCTATAAAATTCTGCATTCAACCTTATTTCATTCTGGAATTCCTGTAGGCTGTTTCTGTCCTAATTTTTTAGAAGCCTTCTGATTTCTGTATGTGTTATTTAGAGAAAGCAAAGTTCATATAAATTTTGTAGCGAATATTATCAGGGATTTTATTGGGTTTTTTAATATATAATTCGAAGGTAATTATGACAAAATTACAGTCCTAATAGGATGATATATAGATTAGGAAGTTACAGTAATATGCATATCAGACTGCTTTTAGCCATACTAATATGCGGATCATGCAGTTCCTGTAAAGTTTAAAACCTACAACAAAACACAACATTTCCCCAAATATCTTTCTTACAGAAGAAAAAGAATAGCATGTCTATGTCCAGACCACAAAGAAATGCCTCTATCCACTGTTTTTAAAGCCAGACCGAATCTGCCAATTCAACTGATCCAGCTTAGAACTTTAACACCTGTCAGGTTTTTAAAATGTCACCTTGCTCAACTTGTCCTGCCACTTTGCAGCTGATACACTTTGTATGGGTGATTAATTGAGCTTGCACGAGCTTGGGTTATTATAAATACCATTCTTTATCTTTGTAAAAGCACTTTTGAGTGATATGAAATTGTTCATCTGTTGAGAGAACTCCAGAGTGCAAATTCACTTGGTAGTCATGACTATGATTCCAAAAAGGTCTCGTCTAGTCACCTTCCAATCACTGAGCCATCTTCTTCTTCAAGCATCCAAATCCCTTTCCACAACCTCACTTCAACTCACACTGGCCATTCTGTTTATCTCCAACCTTTCTTCATTCCATATTTCAATTAAACCACCAAACACTGCTTCACATTTGAGTCTTAAGTCTTAAGACTCTGGAAGCATTCTTTTCCAGTTCTGCATTTGGATTCACTAAGAACGTATAGTATCGTATCCTATTATTTTCAAAATAAGCATATTCCCTGTTCCCTTTACTGAAACCAGTTTCTAGCTTTTCTTCCTTTCCATTGCCTAATGTCATCTACAACTTGTTTAGCAAAAAGAACTCCACCTAAGATATTCCCTCAACAAAAATTCTTTGAAAACAACACTTTCTTCTGTTCTTTCACATTTTTAAGAAAGCTAAGGCCTTAAACGAGTCTTTCATTTAACAATATTAATATTAACTGTGGTGGATAACTACTGGTATTTAACAATATGATAGTAACTAGTAGATTGCTAATGATATTCTTGCACCATTTTCTTTCCTAAGAGGTTATCTTCCTTAGGTACTTGTATAGAGGCTTAGCTACCGGAGATCGTCCCACATGCGATCAATGTCTTCGGATTCATGAAAAATTGACAGAGAAAGCAGGACTTGGTTGCATCCTACGTTTTCTGACTGATACTGTACATACAGTTTGATTTCTGAACTACCTTTATATTTTTAAATTTTTGTTCTTTTCCTTTGGTGTTTTTGATTTTTCTTGTCTATGCAAGACTACAGCAATCAATGTAGTGAAGTATCAGGGAAATATATTAATGTTGGATTGTTGGATTCAAAGTAATATGAACTTTACCTTTTTAATACTCATTGAAAAATCTGAAACATCAAAGCACTTTTAGAGGAGCTTCTAACTTCATAACTTACCTCCAGCATTGTCACAAAACACATTTTTCCCTGACTATGGAGTTTTGAATTACTTTTGGAGAACTTCAATACATTTTGATTGTAAAACTGTAATAAGGCAGAACAAGGCAAAAGAGTCATTAGCTGAGAGGGCGTTCGGTCCAGAATAACTAACACCTAATTGAAGGATAAGGAATAATATTAGAAGGAGCCATTTGAAGAGAGTGGGGGAGAAAAGTCGTTGGAAATGATCCATTCTATCTCTCTCGAGATCTTCTTTTTGTCATACAATTTTCTCTAATTTTCTTTTCCTTGTTCTGCATATTTTACTGTCAATGTTTGGCAACATGGGGATTTTTCCCGAAATGAGAATGAAGTGCAGTACCATTTAAGTTCTCTTACTGTTTTTTTTCTTGTTGCTGGACTGTACCCCATTACAAAAGAATTCTTAATTGGATTTTGTAAGTTGGCAAATTCATTCTTTTATTTTTCTTATTTTGAAAATTTAATTGCAGCTTACGTGAGATAATATTTACCTGACTTTTACGTAACAGTATATCACTTGAAATAATAACATGAACGAAATTAATTCAGGAGAAATAAAGAGTATAAAAAGACTATATTAATTACACCTACACATCCATCTCATCTTTTTTTTAGCTTATTTCCTAGATATTTCAGCTATCCATGGGACAATTTTTGTTTTACTTTCAAAAGGTGTAATCCCCAAATTATCCATGTATCTAATTAATATATTACAGCCATAATCAACCACATACCCTATTTTGCTGATTTACTACGTATAATCTTTTTTTTTTAAATAATCAAACTTATTGGCGTAAACTTGGTTATCAACAAAGTTACACAGATAAAAAGTGATTATAATTTATTCTAATTGTAATGTATTATCAAAATAATCTAACATGTCTAGAACACACTAAAGAGAGCTGTTAGTGCTTTTAATGCCTAAAGAATTGTGTAACCTCAGCAGAAAAAGTAAAGAAGAAAATGAACTAACATTACACTGAACATCAACACATGGTAACTGCTAAATAGGCTTTATATTACTATATGTCAGGTAATAATATCTTTAGCAGGAAAAAAGAGCTTAAAGTGGAACAAATAAATAGTTGAAGGGTTGTTAGGGGATCAAATTCACACGGCACCAGCCACACAGACAAATTCTTTGTAAACAAATCTGATAATAAAACCAAAAACCAAAGTCAAATCCAAAAGGGAAACACTCTTAAAAACAGCATTGGCCAAAGTTACAGCTTGAAAGTTGTAGCCATGGCTCTGATATGGCCCATGAGGCTACCTTTAATCATGCTTGTTAGTTACTTCCCTTTGGAAAAACTTTACTTTGACACACACACACACATGATGATGATACAAGCTCTGTCACCACTCACTAGTGCGTAAACATACATTTTTTTTACCTTTGGTGTTTACTGTTCAGTTCTTGAAAAAGGGTATTGGAAATCCACATCTTAAGGAGAATGAAGTGTGCAGAAAGAGCCAAAGTTGAGTCCCACAATCTGACTCACCCAAACCCATGTCCCAAGCATATTAGACCAAAAAAGATGGGAATCAGAGCAAAAGATGCAGAAAATCATTTCTAAATGAGACCACACTCACTATCCCTTCATGGGAATCCCTTTGATTCTGTCACCCTCCCATATCTTGCACAAAATCCCACCTCTCATCTCACCATGTGGCATCACAAAACCAATGAAAAGGAAAAAATAAAATAAGATAAAACACATTATTCTAACTCACTTTTAAAAAATTACAAAACTAAAAAAAAAAAAAAAAAAAAAAATTAAAAAAAACAAAATTTAAAAAAACAAAAAATAAAAAAAAAAAAATAAAATAAAGAAAAAAAAAAAAAAAAACAAAAAAAAAAAAAATAAAAAACAAAAACAAAAAAAATACAATTAAATACCATTTTACAAATTAAAAATCCCAACATTTTTTTACATTCTGGAAATTAGTTTTTGGAATGTATTTTCAAAAATGTATTTATACAATACAAAAACTAATTTCTAGAACAATATTGTGCATTCTAGAAATTAATTTTTGGAATATAAATAAGAAAGGAAAGTGCAACAAAAAAATAAGGGAGCAAATAGAATTTCCCAACCTCAATACCTAGCAAGTAACCAACATCTAACATCTATTATGTTGATTCATTTCTGTCAACCACCTAAAAATGTCTTAGCATCAATCCTGATCTTTACCCTACCACCACAGCCAGGAGTCATAAATTATGGTGGGGGACGGTGCTGAATTGACATCGCCGCCCAAGGGTTGACAGGCACAGGCCGCCGGATGGTAGGGCCTAATGGGTTGTGATTGAATGAAGGCGGCACAGAAGGCATGGCGGCCGATGAGGAGGATGCAGATGAGACAGCAACACGCTCACAGGAAGGGCACATTGTAAGAGTGGTTGGAGGGTTCATGTGCGTGTAGAGCTGTGGGGAAAACTTCAATGCTCTTAGCTCTTGAACTTCCTTCTGTAGCCTCCTATTGTCATCCGTAAGATTCTCATAGCACCTCTTTAAGTATTCACAATCCACTTCAGTCTGCTTCAGCTTGGTCCTATTGAACCAAAAGCATTCACATCACTTTCTTTTTTTCATTACACAATGCAAGACAAAGTAACACGTGACACGACACACAACAACAAAGCCACATCAATTTTCGTTAGTTTATATCACTTTATTAGTTTATCATTGTAAAGTTGGAAATTTGTGTATTTCCATTAACTAATGAAAAAATGAATGAACTCAAGTAAACACCAAAGGTTCCAAAATTTAACTTCAAAATCCATCATCACCAAATTATTACATGTTTGTCAGTGCTGTGGCCCCAGCATACACATGTAAGTTATTTACACATGCCGTGTTTTATTTCAAAAAATTAAAATCTAAACCATCCAGAACTTTATATACTTTGATGTCTCACAAAAGTTGTGTTATTGATCACATTCAAATTGGTCAAATCTCATCATGAAAGTTGGAGTTGTCTTGAAGTTACTGTTAAAGAAGAATGGCATTGATGGGGAACAACAAATCCTTCTAAATACATAACAACACAGTGGGGCATACATATTACAAAAACTTGTCTGAAGAAAGACAATGAACAATGTCACAACACAATATTCATCATTCAAGTAATCATATACAAAAGTGTCAAGAATGTCCCTTGGATGAATATCCTCACCTTGCTCTTCTGTTTTGAAACCACACTTCAACCTGTCTAGGATTCAGATTCAACTGCTTTGCCAAAGCTTGCTTTTGTTTCTATAAATAACAAAAATAATTTTGAGACTAAATGCCAGCATTGAATCATACTTCCAACACAAATGAATAATTCAGAATAAACCTCATCCTATCCTGAAATTATAAACAAAGTTTGATTTAGCAACTGATTTTTACAATTTCAATCACTTTCCTCAATAATTTTACGGTTACTTTGTGAAAAGAAGAAAGTCAGAATGATTTATCACAAAAGTTAGACATTGGAGTCAATTTAAACGAGATTAAGTAAGTTATTCAACCACAATTTCAGCCACAATGATCGCACTATAACCACAATTTCTGCCAAAAGGTTCTCGGTTATGCACAATTTCTGCCAAAAGATTCTCAGTTTTGTGTCACCATGACCACAATTTCGGATGAAAGATGTATGGTTTCATCTTGACTGATTAAGACCACAATTTTGGCTGGAATGTAATGCTTTTGGTGTTATGTCACCGCCACCATATTTTCAGCTTCGAGGTGTTCAGTTCTACCACACTTTCAGCCAAAATGACTAACAGAAAATATTCAATCAGAAATCTATTTGGACAAAAACCTCTTTTGTAGCACATTGCATAAACTTCAATTCTAAATCAAACTAACACCGAAATCACTTGGAAACAGTATCTAAGTTTTGTGGTTACGAGTTTGATTATTCCAAAATAGGCATTATCATTGCAATAGAAATTACAACACTTTTATTATGTTTGACTCACAGGATTCAGAGTGTTGTGTTCCTTGAATGTTTCTTCAAGCACCAAGGCCTGTTCTTTCAACAACCTGAGCTTCTTCCTCGATGTATCGGCATCACCGCCGCATCCTCCGCCGTCATCATCTTCACTTCCGCCTAGAGAACATGACCCCCTCTCATTCTCCTCTCTTTCGCTCCTCTTCCCGCTGATGCTCGAAACTGCACTGTTTGGCGAAGACACACCGTTCTCCTCGTAGCATGGTGCCACCGATGGTGGTGGTGGCAAGTTCACGTCTATTCCAAAGAAGAAAGGTGGTGGCTCAGAGCTTCGATTGGTCACATGAGACGCACCTTAGCAACGATAAAAGGAGTAGTTTAACAAAGAATTTTCAGACGTTATAAAAAATGGAAAAAAGAAAATACCTTGTTCCTGTTTGCATGATTTTCTACTAAAATATCAACAACAAAAAAATCAAAGATGAGTGTTCTTCACAGCATGAAAATTATGAGAAATGGGTTTCTTATTTCAGCCAAAAAAAATGTGTATGAAAGAAGAAAAAGGAAAGTTTTTTTGTTTTCAAAAATAAACATTTGGAAGAAACTAGAAGCCAGAATGAAGGAATGAATTGAAAAAAAATGAAGAGATTGTGATTAGAAACTTTACCATGGAAATGGAACAAACTATTGAAAGAAGAAGCCCTATGGTTTGGAACAGGATGAGGAGGTTTGTGCATGATGAAAGGGTGTTGTTCATTCATGTTATTATCATCATTTTCTCCCCATCTCAAACTCAACCCCAATCCCAAACCATCATCTTTTTCAGCCATTGTTGGTCAAAGTGAAGACTTTTCTTTGATTTTGGACTGTGTAGAAGAGATTAGCAAATGGGTAGACTTTAGTGACAGTGAGGGAAGCTTTTTGAAGAACAGGAAAAGAACAGAACACAGAAGTGTGTGTATATATCTATAGATATATAGATATATATAGAGAGAGATAAATACTACTGAAGAGGGTGTGAAAGAGAAAGCTGAGAAAGAGTAAATAGGCACAATAGAGTTAATGATGAGATGTGTCAGAGAGCCAAATTGGTTCAATCATCATATGACATGGCTTGTACTGGGTACTACAAAGCAACATTGTCCTATGATGAATTTCAAAGCTTAAATACATATACCATTAAAATGTGGTTGCTTTTTAACCATGGTTGTGTTGTGCTGTGAAAAAGATGAGAATGATGCATTCAAGTCTTGTTTTTGGAGTTCCGAAATTCATTTATTGCACAGGATTGAAGGATAATGAGGAGAGAAGTAACTTACCTGATTTAGGATTTTTATATTTTTAAGTTGACCAACCTTAAATTTTATGGTTTTAGTTACAATGCACCTTAAGATATTTTATGCACCTTTATTTAAGCATGCATTACTACCTGCAACCAGTTAAAGATATTTTCTTTTCTTTTTAATTCAAAAATTAAATAGGATAAAAAATTTATAATGAATTTAAAACATTTGGCTTGTGTTATTTAGTTTTATCGATTAGTATTAATAAAATGTATTATTTTTAACCTATTTATCTTAATTTTAATTTTAATATTTATATTTAAAGAGTTTAATAAACATGTATGATCAATACAAACAAGTTGTACTCGCATGCACATATTTTAAAATAAGTATATTTAAAAGAAAAATTAATTAATTATTGTTTGAATATAGGAGATACATCAATTATTGTTTGGATCGAGAATCACAAAATAGAATTATTTTAGTTTAATAAAATAACAGTCTTACTACAAAAATAAAATAAAATATTCTAAAAACTATATTTTTTTACATAAAAGTACAAAATGTAGTATAAAATAATATTATAGCAGTTTCAAAAATTTGTATCCTTACTTAAAAAGTATTTGCAAGAAAACTATATAATTTTTTATACAAACATACTTTTCATTTAATAATAGTGTATAAAAAATAGTATATGGTCAATATATACTTATTCATATTAATATATATATATATATATATATATATATATATATATATATTATTTAAAAGAGTAGAATTGAAATCTAATACTAAAATAAGAAAATGGTAGAAGTAATATTAGTTATTATTGATGTGATTTTTTATTTAAAGCAACATTTAATTTGATAAATATAGGTAGTTTTATTATTAATCTTCTAACTCTTTTTAAAAAATGATATTTTCTATAAAATCAGTAAAGTGATAATTTTAATTTATTCTAACATCAAAATTATACATGTTCAGTGCAACAATAATATTACAAAATTTCAAAATTTATTTTGATAAGTTATTTATATTAAGAATCCTAAATTGTATTATTATTTTACCAATGTATTTATTTATTTATTTATGATAGTCATGTGGTTTTGCTTGTGTTTTCTGTTGAGTTGAAAAGGAAAAGATGCTTTTTTTCATGGTTGACTGATGAATTTGTAGAGTAGAAGAGGGAGAAAAAGATGTGATTTCACTTTGGAATCATGATCTCATCATAGAGATGATGATAGATAACTAGATGTATGTTTTTGTGTCATCATTAAATGGGTCCCACTGTTGCTAAATATAAAACATAAAAGTGACATTAATTATTATAAAACTTCTCTAAGATCCATCATATTTTCTAAGGGAGACACTCAAAGACAGAAATGTGTCATAAGTGGCAGTCTAATGAACTCCTATCATGCAAAATATTAATTTTAAGCAAATTCAGAATTACTTCTAAAATCATAGATGAAAATAAGAATAACTATAAGTAAATAGTTTTAAAACAAGATTAAAATTATAAGTGAACCTACAATGAGTTGTAGTAACAAATCATTATATATTAGGTTTAGTAATAACTATATCTGTTTACTATTTATTATGAAAATATTATCATATTATTCATTATAACATATCATAATGTAATTATTATCACATTATTCATTGTAATATATCCACTATATTGATGTAATTATTTTATATTTTGATTTTGTTAGTATCATTTCAAATTATGGATACTAAGATATATTAATGTTTTCAAGTGTAGTATATACTTATAATATATAGTTGTTACAAAGATATTTATAAAAGTTTATTAGGTTGGAGATGTTGAAAGAAAAATGTGATTTTTTTTATACATGTCTGTACATTATTTCAAATTATAATTTATTAGATAGATTGTAATTTGTTATGATAAGACTTTGAAATGAATATTAAGATATAGGAATAAAACATTATTATTTGTCATAATGTATAAATGATTTGTCTAGAACAAAGTTATTACAGAAAAATTTGTACATATTAATTATACATGTTGGTATTAAAAAGTTTATTTTTAATAATGTGTTTACATTGTTTGGAATTACAATTAGTTAAAAGGTCATTTTACAATTTTTTGTGACCTTATTTACTAATTAGGCAGAGTATATCGTCTCAAGGACCGAAGAAAAAATTGTGATTAAAGAAGAGGATGGGAAAGATAGGCATAATGTAAGATTGTGTGATTATTTACTGACATGGTCAAAATTTTATTCTTCTAGTTTATTATCATATTTATCTAAAGATAATGAAATACAAAATATGTTATACTATACTTCATGAAAGTTGTTATTGAGTATAGGAAGGTCAAAACTGAGAAGGTTCAAGTAATGTGTTTACAAAGCTTTTGTCTAGATCAAGGTTCAAGTAATGCTTGAAGTAGATTAATTTTTCATTTAAGGACAAAGAAAGATAATGTTATGAGTTTTTCTATGATTTTAAGTCAATGTGTAGAATTGTGATGATGAACTCTAAATCATGTTTTGCATATGCTTTGTTTTACATACGTTTTCAACCGTCATTACAAGATAAACGTTTTTCTTTCAAAGTCTTGTTCTATTTAGAGAAGCCACATAAACTTTAGGAAGAGGAAGAAAAATTGTAGTGTTTATTTTATACCAATAACTTATAATCTTGAAATCATTATTAAATATCCCAAGGTATAAGAGAAAATGAATATCCTTTTATAAAATTAGAAAATATATTTCAATGATATTTGCATGAATTAACTCAATATATTTCAATGAATATTCTTTTAGAACATTTACTTGGTTACTAACTTAGAGATCATCAACTCAAAGTGTGAAAAAGTCTTTTCTTTTCTTTCATGGTCAACTCTACATCCATAACATAATGACATTATAATATGATGCTAGATTATATGGATTTTTGAGACATTCTTTTAAAGATTTGAATGCAAGTATGTAGATTCCATGTTTATGGAATTATTAATGATTTTCACTACTAAAAAATAATAAATAATAACTGAATTTTGTGATTAAAAATTGTAATCATTATCGATAGTCAATTTTGTTTTTAAATTAGTGATTTATTTAGAGTAAACCAATTACTATAAAATCAGGCATTGTTTTAAAATTAATGATTTAAATAATAAAATAAAAATTAATTTTTAATTAATAATTAGAAACATATTAAGTTAAATACTTATTATTCATATATTTTTAGTTTTTTTTATTAAATATCTTAGATTATTAAATATCTTATATTTATTTTTTATCTAGTTACTTGTTTTTTGTTACTTTGTTATTATTCTAGCATGGTCTAATGTCAACCAAGATGAGCTAAGACATCACTTTACGGGGTTTTTTTGCTATCAACGTTAGTCTTGATGGTACTAGTCATCGTCTTAAAACTGGTCTTATGGCTAAATATTACACATAAATTTTTTAGTTAGATTATGGTGATACTTTTTTTGTAGTGACAAATATGGCTTTTGTTCATTTATTTATAGTCATGGTTGTTCTTCGATCTCTTTATTAAGTGGATGTAAAAAAATGTGTTCCTTAATGGAGATTTGCAGAAAGTGATTTATATGGAGCAACCTTCAGGATTTGTTGCTTAGGGAAAGTCTTTTGGATTGGTATGTCATCATCGCAAACATTTATATGGTCTAAAATAGTCTCTTAAGGCCTGATTTGGAAGATTTAGTAGTTTTGTTCAACATTTTAGTATGAAACGGTGTGATGCAGATCATTTAGTCTTTTATCATCACTTGAGTGTTGTATGTGTCTACTTGATAGTATATGTTAGTGACATTATTCTTACAGTGACAACCATGACATCTCCCAGATGAAACAACATCTTTGTCACTATTTTTAGACTAAAGATCTTTGCAAACTTAGATATTTCTTGGGTATTAAGGTGGCACAATCCAATGGTGGTATTTTTATATATAAAAGGAAATATGTATTGGATATGTTGGAGGAAACTGGGTTGAAGAATTCAAAATCTATTGACACACCCATGGATTCTAATACCAAACTCCTACCAAATCAGTGGAGCCTATGTCAAATCCTAAGCAATATATAAGATAGTTTGGAAATTGACATCTCCTTTGCAGTTAGTGTGGTAAGCCAATTTATTAATTCCCCAAGTGAAGATCATTGGATTGTAGTCATTTATATATTAAAGTACACTAAATGATCTTTTGGAAAAAGGTTGTTATATGATCCAATAACCATACAAGAGTTGTTTGTATTCTGTTTCGGTAGATACTTTTAGGGACCGAGAGACTAACCTGCTGACGCGTCTGGGCCGCTCGCTCGCTTCCAAACTCCTCCTGTTGGCC